GGATTACCAAAGTCATGTGCATTCTAGTTGTCCACTTCTGGTATGTGGACTGTAGAGATCACTGGACAGTGACTCTGCAACCGTAGGATGATCTGGCTTGCTTCCATCAAGGCTGCATGACTCCTGGTGTCCCCCTGATGGTTGATATAGGCCACAGCTGTGGCACTGTCTGATTGCACCCCAATTGGGTGTCCTTGCAGAAAGGGAATCCTGTGTTTCAGAGCCATCCTTATTACTCTGAGCTCCAGGCTGTTGATGGATAGCTCATCTTCCAGTGATGACCACATTCTCTGGATCATGAGGGACTGGAACACTCCAAACCCAGCCTGAAAGACTGGTATCTGTTTTCGCTTTTCAATGATAAAGGAAGGAAAGACTTCCCAAGCTTGGTGGATCTCCAGTCCAGCCTTAACAACGGGGAATTGCTTACTTGGCTGCAAAAGCGCATGGGTAGGTCAGGAGAAGGACCATGTCTTTTTGCAGATCAACAAAATGTTTTTGTGATGGAGAGATATTTCAAGTGGACTTGGGCAAATAGAACAGCCTCGAAGGAGGCTACCATGACAGGCAGAACTCCAAAAGGAGAATCTCACAGAAGAGCATTTCTTTGATCTGAAGCCTTGAAAGAGCACAACTTGTTTTCTGGAAGAAAGACTTTAGCTTAGGCTGCATCTAGAATTAGGTCCAAGTATTCCAGGCGAAGAAAAGGTTGGAGAGCAGATTTTTCTAAGTTCATTACTCAACCGAAAGGCTGAAGCATTTGAATAGTCTTGTGGAAATTTGCAGATAGCCGATAAGGAAATAAGTCCTTCAAAAGAAGGTTATCTAGATAAGATGTGACCTGGATGCCCCAAGTTCTCAGAAGGGCCATAAGCAGTATGGGTATCTTTGTGAATACTCTGGAAGCAGAGTATAGGCCAAAAAGAGATGCAACAAACTGAAAGCGATTGTCTCCTACTGCAAAGCACAGAAAGCGCTGACAAGGTGGATTAATATGAACATGTAAACAGACATCTTAGATGTGTACGGATGCCAAGTATGCCTAGCATCTCGAAGAGGCAACAGCCGACCTTGTGGATTCCAAGCAAAAATGTTGAAATTTGAAGGCATTTTAGGTCTAGAATAGGATGATTACCAAGCACAAATACTACCTGGGACAGGAGGCGTTCTGCAAATCTGACTGTCCTTGGGCAGATTTTGATTTATTTGAGACACAAAACGGTGAGGGGGTAGAGTTTGGAACTCTTTTACACCTTTGAAAACACCAACTGAACCAAGAGGTCCGGGACATCTGTGACCCAGAGAAAGGTAAACTCTAACAGACATCCCTGGAGTGAGGGCACCCCTTCGCTGAAAAGAAGGCTTGGAGGAAGACATGGTGGATTGTGTGCTCCATTTGTGTTGCTGAAATGTGGGGCTAAATTTTGCCATAGAAGTTGGCGCTTGAGTACAGTGTTGAGTCTATGTTTGGAGGTGGTAAAAGCCCTGAGTAGGAAGACTTTGGAGTCCTCCTTTGCGGGAGAAGGACCTTTCCTCCTCTGACATCTTTGATGAAGCTGTCCTCCTTCAAAAAGCATCCATGTAAGACATCATTTACAGGCAGCTTCAGCTGACCAGGCTTTGAATCACAAGATTCTGCAAATGTGAATAGACATCAGATTCATTCTTGATATCTGTGTCATAACCTGTTCTAGGTTATCAACACAAACAAGCAAGGTAGACAGTAAGTGCTCAGCTAAAGTACAGTTTTGAAGTGCATGATCATGCTGGTTGCTCACTGGCATAGTCGTTAACTCCAGCATTAACTGGTTGCAGAGATGGGCCTGCAGAGTAAAAAGGCATGCCCTACCCGCGCCGCTGTTCGCGGCCGTGGCTGTTAATCGCCAGGTCCCAGCCGGTGATTGCCAAGCATCAAAAAAAAAAAAAAAACAAAACAAAAAAAAAAAACTGCATAGGCGATCAAATGCCACCAAAAGAAAGCTCAATTTGTGGGGGAAAAAAAGGACGTAAATTTAATTAATGTACAGTGTTGCATGACCACGCAATTGTCAGTTAAATTAACGCAGCGCCACAGTGCAAAAAATGGCCTGGTCAGGAAGGGGGGATAAATCCTCTGGAGGGCAAGTGGTCAAATAGGAAATTCAGGGTTTTAAAAAAAAAACAAAAAAAAAAATGTATACTCATCTAGGTGGATGCAGCATCAATCCGATGCTGCATATGTCCCCTGCTGCCTCTGCACTGAAAACTGAGGGCTCAAAAACTGTCAGTCATAAGCTATTTGCTCTGCCCCTTCTAGCAGTCACTGGAGCACTGGGCTGGGGGTGGGGAGGGAGGGAGGGAGGGAAGGAGCTGAGAGGCTAAGCCAGCTGCCAGTCCAGGTATCTGGGTGGATCCCAACTGTCAGCCTGGACCAGCTGAGTGAAGTCAGCTGACAGCAGGCTTTAGCCCGTTGTCGGCTGAAAATGGGTCACAGGAACTGCACTCCTGTGATCCATAGAAGTATAGCCAAAAAGCTTTGGCCATACCTCGCCTTTAAAAGAGGGTCCTGATCCTTTGCTGAAGGCTTGCAAAATATTCAAGCTCATAGTGACAATACTGCCCATGAAGAGTGAGTGTTCATATCAGCTTTTGTGGTGACTCCCTTACTATGGGTGAGGATAATCTCCTGTGGGGTACTCAAGGAGATGGGGTAAGTGGGTCTGAGAAGATGTACACTGCAAGCCATCCTGTAATGAAATTGTCACAGCAAAAGCACAAGAGGAAGTGCTGGAGTACATTATAAGGGCTCCAAGTGGGAGTGGCATTAAAGTGTACAACCTGTGGTGTGAAATAAAACCTGGCCATCCACCTGAGGTTACCCTCTGAGTGGTAGAAATTTAGAGCCATGTTTGAAAAATGAAAGTGAATCAGCTTCAAAACACAGTCCCAGTTTCCGGATAGTTTTGTATAAAAACACATACTATCCAGGATACACATAAAAAACTTAAAGCTAGTAATGGAGATCTTATGTCTCATACTTACTATAGGTCTACAGTAACAGTGTAATAAACATTGTGACCCAGTCTTGCTTGTCCATGTCGCTAGTCCCTAATAAAAGGGCCCAGGCTTTGGTTGTCATACCCCTGAAGGGGTCTTCAGGGTCTGGGTTCTAAAAGGATGGATTACGGCCCTGGATCTAAATAGAACTCTGTAACAATGCAACAAGTGCCAACTTGAGCACCCAAGCTAGATCCAGTGCCCAAAGCAGCATTATGGGCAGTCCCCCCCCCACAGGGTATGGTCTGGGTATAGCTCCCGATGTTCTAAACCATTACATTTTATGAGTTAATACAGAGGCTTAAAAGTGTTTCAAGGTTTGCGCTTATATTTCTTTATTAGGCTTCTTTCACATGAAGGCTCCGATCAGGTCCACCAGTCCATTTGCCCCTATGGATCAGCGGGTGTAAATGGACTTGTGCCCGTTTACATCTGCATACCTCTGGTACGATCAGATTTGCTTTAAAAAAAAAAAAAAAATGGAAAAAAGGCATCTGTCCTGTTAAATCTAGGCGGAGCGGATCGGACGGCAGTCTGGTGTAAAAGCGGACAGCAGAGTCTATTTACTCTGCGCTGCCCATAGAGCAGAGCTGGCTCTGTCAGGATCCGCTCTGCAAAAAATGAGCAGAAAGAGATGGCTCATCTCTGCTCTGATCAGCAGACATATCCCCTGCTGATCTCAACAGAGTCCACCCTGTGTGAAAGGGGTCTAACAAATAAACATCCAATATAGGGTGCATGACATAATATTTGCAAAGCATACTAGACTTTTTGTGTAGAAAGTCTAGTAGTTGATCACAGTAGCCTCATACAGAGCCTTATGAGGAGGGTGCAGATGGGGTCCCTCTACTAATTCAGTTGCATGAAATTTGAAAGTATATTGAATTACTGCAATGTGGTAAATGGAGTCAGCAGGGATGAAGAACTGCACCACCTGCTGGCTGCAACATTAAAGATTATAGTGGAGTTTTAGGCTACATACAAGTCTGCTCAAAAACACTACTTACCCTCCTTCTACCTTTTACCCTGGGTTCACATATAAGCAGTGTGGATGCGGTGTGAATTTGTTCAAGCAGTGCAGGTGTGCATTGTAAAAAGTGCATCAGGATGGAAATCACGCCTGCACCACATTGAAAATCGCACAGGACCTTTTTCAAAATCGCACTGCAGTTGAACCCCATAAATGTGAACAGAAAACATAGAAAACTATGTTATTTGGCCTGTCATGCAAATCAATGGGTTTTGAAGCGCATTACAAATAGTGTATGTGTGAACCGATGCTTACTGCTTGTTAGAGAGTGGTGTGTAAATACCCTTTCATTCATCCGCTTTGGTCTGGTCACATGATGCAGAATCAGCGGCTCCCCTGTGTTAGTGCCGATAACACTGGGGTACTTGAAGCCTGAAAGTGACATCACAGTTGTAGCAATTCAGCTCTGTTGCCTAACATCCCTTTTATGAACAGTATACTGGAAGTGGAAGAAATCTATGTTTTAAGCAGACTTATATTTAGCCTAAAAGGTCTACTTAATGTTTTGCCTGTATGGGATGCACAGGTGTTCCGTACATCCACGTGCAGGCAGTCCCATTCATGTCAATTGGGACATAGTGGCCGCACGGTCACAGCCGCTGCCCTTAATCGGACATCCACGTGGATGCAGTTTACCAAATGCAGGCAGTGTTAATCTGGGGACCCGCACACACACAAATGTCAAACTGGGAGTAGCATTGCATCCGTGCATGAAGGTGACGCAGATGCTTTAAACTCCTGTGCAGCCCATACAGGCAAAGCACAGCCCACACACAGGTGTATGACTCAAGTATACCAATGTGGACAAGGTCTAAATACTCATATACAATTTTTAGTCTGGAACATAATAAAGAAAATATTTAGAAAATTATTCTTTTTAAATAACTTCAGATGACAATAGATTTCTGAATAGAACACAATTAAACGCGCTTACGTGATAGGTTGCCCATGAATAGCCGTCATAGCTGGTGCAAATGTGCGATACAGGGAGTGGTTGAATACAGGTGATCTGATATTCGCCAGGACTGCATCCAACAGGGGTTGATACAGGTATTGTTGCTTTGTGGAAGGGACAGTTGGCGGAGGAGGAGTTGGCTAGTGATGCAAAGAAATAACATACATAAATTTACATTTATGTCAACTCTAAAAGCGAATAAAAATGCACGGCACATAGAAGTCAACCACACTCATACATACACCCAATAATTATTTTAATGACTGAAGCCCACTGAACAGACATTTTCATGATTAAAAAATGCTCATTTTTTCTGCAGTCTTCTTAAAATCAGATCATTTTAGTTTTTAAACACAAAGCTGCACGAGCAGCACTTTACACACAACAAAATAAGAAAGGTATTCAGAAGATACAGTGACAATTTAATTAATCCAAAACAGAGTCTTTAATAATCCTTTCCATAAGCATATGGATACCCGTAAATTGGCAGACTTTGGGTCACTGGTAGAAAGGTGAAGAACTCTGCATTAACATAAAATTATATCCATCGATTCATTTATATTTAAGTAAAGAGTGTACCCTTTTAGAGGGTGAACCCGTATATATCCAATAACCTTAACCTAACTCAACATAACTTGCACAAATAGACCACAATGCTGATCAGTTTCACATGTCTCATATTGCAGCATGACCTTCCAAAAAAGTGTATCAAGACTTTAAGTGCACATAAATACTCCGTACTCAAAAGGGACAGTAGCCTGTCTGAACTACTTGTCTCATGACAAAACATAAAGGTACACAGGATGGGAGCCTTTTTAGAGGGGCCTGAGCTGCACCTCTTCACCCACTGGTGACAGGTGCCAATGCTGAAACCCAGGAAAGCTCAACTGGCCAGATCTTGTACGTGTTGGGCTTTCTGGGAAGGATCCAAAAAGCTGACTCTTTTTATAAGTCTTCTGGGCATCCTATTAAGGGGATGCCAGAAAACGACACTAGACTAAACACAAGGGCCAAACTGCCAAGAAATAGCAGGTTTACTTGGGTGATGCTGAGCATCCAGGTAGAGGACAGCCAGAGCTGTTCCATGTAGGGAACAGTCAGCGCTGGCCCAGTCAACTGTGTAGTTCAGAGAGTTCTTCTGGGGAGGAAGGGGTTTCATGTTCCATGGACGAGGGAACTTTTGTTAGTTAGTTAGGGAGTGGAGGTCTAGATAGGACACAGGTCAAAAATTTAACATATGGTCTCGAGCAAGGGGTTCAGCGTGGGATGAATCCAGAGAAACTGGGGAAAGTGCACTGATCTATCGAGTAGCAGAGGGGATAAAACAAAGAGAATCTGAAGGGGGCATCAGATAGAAGTAAGCCTTTGGACTTAAAAGGGGCATTCTCTGTTCCTGAATTCCCGAGAGGCAGAACTCTTCAGGCTGTTTCCAGTAAGCAGACTGATCAATCAAATGCAGAGTCAAAGACACAGAGCAGTGGCCCAACGAGATCTAAAAGGTTAAGGGGAAGGGGGTCAAAATGGTCAAAGATGGACTCTGCTGTGGGGGATGGCACTAGAGCACTAATAGGGCATCTGCACTCAGTGTCCGAAAAGAGCTAAGCACAAAAATCCAAAATGTTATATTGGATGTACAGGTCTCTGAAAACAAGGTAGGTACGTTGGTCTCCAACAGCAAAGATGAGGAAGACTCCGATGATGTAGGGGCACAAGGTTACAGACTGCTGGTGCCGGTTCTCTCAGTAGTCACCCGCAGCAATAATGCAACTAGGCTCAAAGTGTGAGGTGAGGTCTTAGATTAAAAAAAACACAGGCAGTTGGTGCTGATTAGGATCAGCGGGCCTGAGGTGATTAGATCTGAGGAGACCGTTGAATGAAGTTCCAGCAGTCAGATGGGGCTTCCTCTATTCTAAAAAGCAGATTGAGTGCAGAGCATTAGCACAACACTTCACCCAGAGGGTGACATCAGCGTTCTGTCCTTTGTCATTGACCCATTGTTAACCCTTAACACACAGTGCAACTGGTCATGGTAATGTAGTGCCCTACCCTTGTCTAGGGAAAAAAAAAAGTTTTTGGCTCTGCTGTATTCAGTTGAGCAACAATTTGTCAGGTCCATCCCTAAGCCTGGTGGTTTATTGTTCCTGTCCGCCTCTGGAAGAAGCTTCCAAAAAGAGTAAAAAAGGTTCAGCCAATGGGTTATGAATTTTTATCTGACCTCAGCCCATCCCTAGGAGGGGGGTACCCAGAGGGCGATTGAGGAGAAAAAGGTTTGAGAATGGCTCTCTTCTCCTGGGGCCTCTAGCTTGGGATGCAGCCTGTGCTACTGAATTGCTGTCAGGCCTCATGTGCTTGGCTGAGGGCCTGGAGGAACCCAAATTAAAAGACATTTGCTGGAAGACACTACTTGGAAGCTGGGCTGGAGAAGGACCCCGTTTTACTGAAGAATGTTGCAGGGAAGCTGGCTGGAAACAGCTGTCCTTGGACAATGTGGGTAGGACCCTTGCCTAGAGCTTCAGGTGTGCCTGTGGTTTGAGGGCAAGACACCAGAGGTTGCTAAATGGACTGTGGGACTGCTTTTACAGAGTCTCAAATGGACTGGCTGTGCCTCCACCTCCAGAAATATTTAAAGGCTGCTGCTGAAGAATGTTTGTTTGAGAATCTGCCCTCCTGTTCAAGCACTGCAATAAAACTTCAACAGGACAACCCCTAAACTGAACCCGTTTATGTCGGTGTGCTCTGGAACAGGTGTGGGAGACCTCTATATTTCCAGTGGCCCCTCCAGAGGTGAGCATTACAATAGATACATTTTAAAGACGCCAAGCAAGCCAAACAATGAAGTAGCAAACATTTCTTTGGCCTGAAAAGACTTATCCACAGTAAGCCTCACAAAAGAGTGTTCAGACACAAAGACAAGCACTGAGACAATACTACAGGTTAGGACCTGGAAAAGTGCTCTACAGCCACCTTTTCCAGGACATTAAGGTCTGGAAAGTGGTACAACAAAGAGCCCAGTGCTCAAAAGACTACCAGGCTAGCCCCACACGTCCAATCCAGTTGGGCTCTTCAAAGTCAAGCTTAGAAAAGGCCCATTCAGATAGCTGCCATGTAGAGATCAGCTTAAGCAGTGGTAGAGCAAGAAATCTTGTCAGCAAAGTTAAAAAAAAAAAAAAAGAAAAGGTACTGGCAGGTACCTTTGACTTACACTTGTACTCCTCCTGACCTGCAGCTGAGCTCCTGAGCTACATTACCCTGCTTCAAGCTGCTTTTGCATTCCACTGACTTGCATGAACAAATGCCCATCGACAAAGACATTTACCCTCATTACTGGGCAATGTCTCCATCCAGTCAGATACTCATCACAAATAATTATACTGGGGGCACATACACTGTAAATACTGCATATCATTTATTTTATAACTTTTCTTACCACAGCCATGTCATTCTTCAGCTTCTCCAGAGCAATCTCACATTTCTGCAGGGTCTTCAGGGGGCATCTAGACACACAAGACAACACAAAGTGATACTTGAACAGAACTACCTGGGGGAGGAATTACTACAGGGCACACATTATTACCTCTTTGATGGGTCTGTTAAGATGTCCAAGAGACTCTTCATTTTACTGAGGTCTTTTTTTCGATCTGAAATAAAGTTAATAATGAACATAGAATAGCAAAGATAAAGTGATAATAATGTAATAATTCCTATTAACATATGTTCACATAGAAAAAAAATCAGAATTATTAAAACACTGTATTACCATACTTCTACAAGTGTCACTGCCTGTAGTTAGCACATTTTGTGGTGTATGGCATTTTGTTTTGTGCACTGGTATGTAACCATTTCCCTGTGTTTTCCTGGCAGCCCTAAAGTTGTTAGGCAGGGCATTGTTTAATATTAGCTGTTCTTCATGTGCAGGTGAAATCCGAAAAATTTAAATATCGTGCAAAAGTTCATTTATTTCAGTAATGCAACGTAAAAGGTGAAACTAATATATGAGATAGACTCATTACATGCAAAGCAAGATAGTTCAAGCCGTGATTTGTCATCATTGCGATGATTATGGCTTACAGCTCATGAAAACCCCAAATCCACAATCTCAGAAAATTAGATTACATGCAATCAATAAAACAAGGATTGTACATGGAATAATATCGGACCTCTGAAAAGTATAAGCATGCATATGTACTCAGTACTTGGTTTGGGCCCCTTTTGCAGCAATTACTGCCTCAATGCGGCGTGGCATGGAAGCCATCAGCCTGTGGCACTGCTGAGGTGTTATGAAAAACCAGGATGCTTCAATAGCGGCCTTCAGCTCTTCTGCGTTGTTCGGTCTCATGTCTCTCATCTTTCTCTTGGCAATGTCCCATAGATGCTCTATGGGGTTCAGGTCAGGCGAGTTTGCTGGCAAATCAAGCACAGTAATCCCACGGTCATTGAACCAGGTTTTGGTGCTTTTGGCAGTGTGGGCAGGTGCCAAGTCCTTCTGGAAAATGAAGTCAGCATCCCCATAAAGTGCTCCAAAATCTCCTGGTAGACGGCTGCGTTGACCCTGGACTTAATGAAGCACAGTGGATCAACACCAACAGATGACATGGCTCCCCAAATCAACACAGACTGTGGAAACTTCACACTGGACTTCAAGCATCTTGCAGTGTATTCCTCTCCATTCTTCCTCTATACTCTGGGTCCTTGGTTTCCAAATGAGATGCAAAAGTTGCTCTCATCAGAAAAGAGGACTTTGGACCACTGAGCAACAGACCAAGTCTGTTTTTCTTCAGACCAGGTAAGACGCTTCTGACGTTTGTTGTTCAGGAGCAGCTTGACAAGAGGAATACAACATTTGAAGCTGAAGATATTCTAATTTTTTGAGTTTCACCTGTATAAGTTACCTCCAACTAATTTCCTAGACTAAACTCTATGCATACTTCCACTGTAGTTTTAATTTAAGCAAACATATGATGAACACCTAAGAGTAAAGTTCAGGCAAAAAGAAAATGCCACATAATGGTAAAAGATCTGGCTCAATTAGGAAACTACTTTGTCTTAAAAAAAAAAAAAACAACAAAAAAACCCAGAGCCCAAACATAAAGATGGAATTTCCTTGTTTTCCCACCAGCTGACCTGGATTGCATGTGGGGCTAAGAATATGCAGGGATCATGCATACTACGGGGGAGTACAACTTGGGGAATCAATGGTGGAGAAGGATCTGGGATTCTGGTAGATCACAAGTTTAATAAGGGCATGCAATGCCAAGCTGCAGTTTGTAAAGCGAGCAAAATCCTCTCTTGTATTAAAAGAGGTATAGACTCCAGAGAGAGAAATATCATTTTACCCCTGTACAAATCATTAGTAAGGCCTCATCTGGAATATGCAGTTCAATTTTGGGCACCAATTCACAAAAAGAACATTGGGGAACTGGAGAAAGTACAGAGAAGGGCAACCAAACTGATAAGAGGCATAGAGGAGCTCAGCTATGAGGAAAGATTAGATGAACTGAATTTATTCTCTCTTGAGAAGAGATTAAGGGAGGATATGATCAACATGTATAAATACATCAGTGGTCCTCGGTGTAGAGCTATTCACTCTAAGGTCATCACAGAGGACAAGGGGGCACTCTTTACGTCTGGAAAAAAATAAATTTAAATCTCCAAAACACAGAAAGGTTTCTTCACAGTAAGAACTGTGAAAATGTGGAATAGACTCCCTCAAGAGTTGGGTCTGGCCAGCTCAGTGGATTGCTTTAAAAAAAGTCCTGGATTATTTCTTGAATACGCAGAATATAACTGATTACTAACATTTATAGGTAACGTTGATCCAGGGACCCGCCGATTGCATCTTGGGGGATCAGGAAGGATTTTTTTCCCCTGCAGGAGCAAATTGTATCATGCTTTGCTGGGTTTTTTGCCTTCCTCTGGATCAACTGTGGGTGTAGGAGAATAACTTTTTTTTTTTTAAATGGTCGAACTGGATGGACTTTTGTCTTTTTTCAGCCAGACTATGTAACTATGCATGTACTTTGCTTTCTCCAAGTCATTTATAGCATCACCAAAAATCCCCTTTTGCTTCTCTAATGCAAATCAGGCTATGATGGCTATAGCTATGATGGAGGTCCATTAAAATTGTGCCTGTTGCTATACACAAGTAGACTGGACACTTCAGTAAGCAGTATTTTTGTGTATGGATTATGCTTAAAATCCACCTCCCAAAAAATTCTCATGTGTACCAACATGAATAGATGGCTGCTGGTACAAGTAGTCCAGGAAGCAGGAGTCCAACTCTATCATATGACCCAAACTATGAATGGGGTAATTTAACCACCAAGGTAATTTTTAAATAAATATTTCCCACATATTTGCCTGAAGCCTAGGCATTGTGCTATTTTACGGAAGCCTGAAGTTGAGCTTTATTTCCCAGTATTGCAGAGTGTGATTTCTTAGTATGTGCATGTTTGTTTCTCGAAAAAGCATTGTTAGAAAGAACAGAATTCACCTTCATTTTTATCAATCTTGTTGATCATACGTCTCAATGGTTCTATATACTTGGAAAGTTGTTTCAGCTTCTCCAGGTACTGCTGTTCCTCTGACTGGTTGGAGCTTGCAGGGCTCATCACAGAGTTTGGATTGCCTTTATAAACAAACATGCAAAAATAATCATGTTTTTATAAAAATATTTAACTGCTAATAGATGTGCTTGTATCAGACCCGAAACACAAGCTCAGGGTTAGGTATGCATCAGTGAATGGATTTCAGGCAACATAGGATATCATGCTTTTCTTTTCACCTGGGGTATTCAGGGGTCCTGGAGAAGGCACACTGAAATTCTGAGGAGTGCGAGCAGACGCTGGGCTCTGGGAAGGCTGTGGGGATGGGCTTGGCATGAAGCTTGGGGAGGGTGCTGTACCAGAGCTACAAAAAGAAGAGATAAACACTTTTAGAAAAGCCACATTAACCAAAAATCACTGGGAATTACTACACCATATACCTGAATTAAAGTATATGTAAACCCCTACAATTAACTTATCTTATATACTCCCTTTTAGTCAATTATACAATTGAATGCATTTTGTTGTATCTGTTGATAAGCGCTAAAAAAAAAAATATCTGTTGATTCAGTCAGGAAACATCTGAGCTGAAAACGTCCTGTGCCTCTGCTGAATTATCAGCCATATATTATAATTTCTATAAGTCTAGTAAAACCCAAAGCAGAAATATGTAATGCCACTGCATAGGTGTTCAAAATGTGATGTAACCCTAGCTGTCATGATATTCAATGCTCACAGCATTTACACTAACACTAACCTGTGAGTCATTTTACAATTTTAAAAGGTAAATGTTCTACCTAAAAGCAGACACCGCAAGGTTCTGACTACTACATATAATAACCAGAAAAGCGTTTTCTGTGCTCTACTGTTAACATGGTTTATATTGTTATTAAGGTTTCCATATTTCTGACTTTAACACGAAGCACTCTCCCTGGACAGTGTAGACCCACTTTTTCCAGAGCACCCTTGCTGGCTCCTGAGGCACTCTCACTGGACAGGGGTTTGGTAAGCAGGTGGTGACTTGTGATGGTGGTGTGTATTCACAAAGTCACAAGTAAAACCAGAACCAGGAGGGAGCTTTGTTGACTTGATATGGTAATATTAGATACTATTTGATGCCTGCTCTTTGGCACAGCATTGGAATGGAGAGCTTACACCAGCAGTTGTGTTGGCTTTATACAGAAAGAAAATAGAAGAGCACCCACAGCTATCGGGGCCTAAATAAGATACCATAAAAAAAAAGGTACCTAAACTAGGCATGTGCCACATACAAATTTCAGCAGAGTTGGGAATCTAGAACTACTGACACTCCATTTCGCATGATTCAATGTGTGCACTTTCCAATTGGTTGCCAAGGTGGTAGGCACTACATTGTGAGAGGAGGTTTCCACAACAAAGTCTGGTATGGGTATGTGCAAGCACCTTGAGGTGCCACCTATTATGGCCATGTCCTACTTCTGATTTGTGTATAGGTGACATTTTCAATAAAAAAAAAAACCCTTTGTATAAGTCAACTGCTTAATGTCCTAAAGTAGGCTTCAGGTGAGAAAAAATGATAAGAACCCCCGCCCCCAGTGCTTGCTTTCCCCTACAAAATTTTGGAAGGTATACGTTCACACTAAACTGAAGATGTGTTTTAAACATAATGTTAGCCAAATACTTCATAAACTAGGCAAACATGGAAGATAAGTTTCTCACCTGACATTGGAGTTGGGTTGAGACATTGGCTGTGAGGGCTGTGGGGATGGCTGAGGAGGTGGTGGCATGGATTGAGGAGTCTGCACCTGTTGCACAGGCGATGGTGATGACATTAAAGAGATATTGCCCTGATTTACCTGTAACAAATGTTGCATTTGTGAAAGAGGAAAACTGAAGAGGCTTTGCACAGTTTAAGTGGATTCTAAAAGTGCAGTGTCATCTAAAAACAATGACACATAACACTCAGAAGTGCCTGGTGCAGGTCCTGTAGACAGAATGTTAGATTCACAAACATTTTCATAGAGTCCGAGTAAGAGAAACATGGATGTTAGCAGTGACAAGACTGTACCCAGTGCCTGAATAATGCCTTAAGAGGAAATGGCATATGAACTTATACTAGATTCACAATATGATGCTTGACAGTTTCCTCAAAAGTAAAAAAGACAAAGCAAAAGCTACAGCCATTTAGCTGATGAGGGGGGGGGGGGGGGGGGGGGGGGGGGGGGGGGGGGGGGGGGGGGGGTACCTATAAAATGGAGGAAACAATACTTTATTAAGCACCAATCAAATGTTCATATAACTTAAACATACTGTATCTACAAATATATCTGGTTTTACAGTTAGTCAGGTACAGACAGAAAGAGCATGCCATTAAAGATTTCTGTACTATCCATCTCCCAGTTAATGCACATTTCAAGTGCATCTAAACCCAAAATAAGAATGTAATATATAGCAGCTCACTATTCCTTAGATATGATGGCTGCAATCGTTTTCACTTTTTCAGGTACATTTAATTTTTCATGTACATTTTTAGCAAAAGACAGAAAATACCCATTGATCTTGCAATAAATGTAATGTATATTTCACTTCTCATGAACTGGGCAAAAACAATCTGTAAAAAATGATGTTAAAAGATTTTAATAAACTTCTAATCCCATCAACCTGAATGAAATGGAGATAAACAAAGGCAGACTTTCTGTCTAGCCTGGACGACAACCATGGCTGCTTCCATATATATTGGAGGAGTGAGGGTAGCCACCTAAGACAGTAAGTCTAGGTTCATACCTAAGCGTTTTCCGCAGCGTTTTGCAGAAATGCACTACAGTCCATTTAAAATTATTTCCTATGGGACACGTTCACATCACCGTGTTTTCACCCAGTGGGTTTTTTTTTTTTAAAGGGTCAGGGACTTTGTAAACGCAAAACGTTGCGTTTTTGGTTCTATAGACTCCAATGAAGATGCTGCAGAAAAGCATGTAGTGCATTTTCGATGTGTTTTAATCTGCCTAGCAATAAGAAAAAAAAAATTAAAAAAACCCTGCAAAAACGTATAAAAAACACAGCAAAAACGAACCACAAAAAAGTACTGCATAAATGGATCAAACGCAAACTGCATATGTGTGAACCAAGCCTAAAGTGTGCTATTTGCAGGTTTACCATGTGAAAAAGAAAACTAAGCCTGAAAAAGAGAAAAAAAAACAAAACTAATGCAGCCACCACATCAAGGAACTGGTAAACTGCAGTACTTAAAATTATTTCTTTGGGGTTTACAGTTTACATGTAATTTCAGAAAACCAGCATACATTGCTAGTGTACATCTCCATACTGACCTGGTTTGATAACACATTTTCAAAATAGTCCAAGTGAAAATGTATTCACCTATCACTTTCTAACGTGATCACTGCACATGTTAAATAGTCATATGAAATGGCCAGACTCTTCTACATAGAACAATACTTAGAAACTATGTATGGGTGCTTTTGAAAAAACTTGTGAAAAGTAACATTTTCTTGTTGAAGAAATATAGAATGCACAAATATAACATTCTAAGCAGCAGATGGGGATGGGTTTAAAAAAAAAAAAAAAAAATTGCATTGCAACAACCAGGAGAAATGCCACTTCATTGATCAGTCCTACATTTGAGTCTAAAAGCTGCAATAGGAAGCATATTTTTTTTTTTTAAATCAAACAGAAAAGCTATGCTGGATAATGTTGTTGTAGTGTTTAGTCAACTGTTAATTTGCAACATGAACGCTATGCTAAACAAAGCAATCTAAAAATAGTAAGAAATGATCAAAAGCCAACCACACTCTACAGTTCTAGAGGAACATGCACAATAACAAACATCACAATCCAACATAAGCAGGACAATCTAAAACTATATGAGACATGATTAAAAATTCCACAAAGAAAACGTCATATCAGTATGAGCAGATCAAGGCTGCCAACCCAGGAGAACAGATTCGTAAGGGACTGTCATAGCTCTAGCACCCACAAGTCAGTCAATACCTGTGGGATCTGCTGTCCTCCCATAGGGATGGAGCTTGGAGGCGTGTCAGATTCAGTGGTGGGCGTGAACCGCGACCTTATTGTCATCCCACCTCGAGTCATAGATGCGGTGATCATCTTTGGAGGACAGAGGGACAACAGACAAAAGTAAAACAAGAAATGCAGTGCAAGTGGTGAAAGGGAAAGGTATGCATGCAAAAAAAGCCAAAAAGAGCAGGGGAACCCAGGAACACCCTACAAACTAAAGAAAGCATTCTACAGCACCCCAAGCAGAGAACACCTCTAATAAGAGCTTGCAGATCACAGCAGAGTCAAAAGCACAGCCCCAGAGCATCCTCATACGTCTGCATTTTCTAACACTTGATAAAGTTTTTCTACTTTTCAAGCTTCAAAACAACCCCCGAAAAAAAAAAAAAAAATTTCTTTGACATACATCACGAGACACAGAGCATCTCTGTTAATCCTTACTCACTGGGTGAAGCACCACCTACAGGTGGTTTGACACTGGCAAAAAGACATGAAGTCTATATAATCCCTCCCATACAGGAAGTACCTCAGTTTTTTCACCAGTGTGTGCAGAGTTCCACAGCAGTGACCATTACCTTCAATGCTACCAGATTCTTATTGGTGACCAGAATCTTTTGACATCGTGTTGCCTGTATCATCTAGGCCAGCAATGGGCAAACTACGGCCCGCGGGCCATATACGGCCCGGCGGACCTTTTAATCCGGCCCGTGGAGCGTGATACTGTCAGGATGGCTGTCAGGATGTGTGTAGGCGGGGCAGCGTGACGAACGTGAGGGGAGCTAGGCTCCTCTTACAGTCCGCCCTGAAGACCGGAACGGCGCGGGAACACGGCGAGAGGAACGCGCGGAGCAAAGGTAAGTGAATTGACACAGGGGGGACTTGGCTTACTACTTTGGGGGGAATAGTACTATGGGGGATGAATTACTATATGGGGGATGAATTACTATATGGGGGGTGAATTACTATATGGGGGATGAATTACTATAGGGGGGATGAATTACTATAGGGGGGATGAATTACTATAGGGGGAATTACTATATGAATTACTATATGGGGGATTAATTACTATGCTTACTATGGGGGAATATTACTATACTTACTATGGATGACACATACACATCATTCATCTACTCTTGGTCCGGCCCCCGGGTCCAATATATGAACCCATTGCGGCCCTTAAGTCAAAAAGTTTGCCCACCCCTGATCTAGGCCCATCCAATGTCTGGGGCCGTACATGCTCGTCAGTTACAGTATCTCACAGAAGTGAGTACACCCCTCACATTTTTGTAAATAGTTTATTCTATCTTTTCATGTGACAATTCTGAAGAAATGACACTTTGCTACAATGTAAAGTAGTGAGTGTACAGCTTGTATAACAGTGAAAATTTGCTGTCCCCTCAAAATAACAACACACAGCCATTAATGTCTAAACCGCTGGCAACAAAAGTGAGTACACCCCTAAGTGAGAATGTCCAAATTGGGCCAAAAGTGTCAATATCTTATGTGGTCACCATTATTTTCCAGCACTGCCTTAACCCTCCTGAGCATGGAGTTCACCAGAGCTTCACAAGTTGCCACTGGAATCCTCTTCCACTCCTCCATGATGACATCACGTTGCAGGTGGATGTTAGAGACCTTGCTCTCCTCCACCTTCTGTTTGAGGATGCCCCACAGATGCTCAATAGGGTTTAGGTCTGGAGACATGCTTGGACAGTCCATCACCTTTACCCTCAGCTTCTTTAGCAAGGCAGTGGTCGTCTTAGAGGTGTGTTTGGGGTCATTATGTTGGAATACTGCCCTGCGGCCCAGTCTCCAAGGGAGGGGATCATGCTCTGTTTCAGTATGTCACAGTACATGTTGGCATTCATGGTTCCCTCAATGAACTGTAGCTCCCTAGTGCCGGCAGCACTCATGCAGCCCCAGACAGTGACACTCTCAGCAAATTTACAGTTATACAAGCTATACACTTACTTTACATTGTAGCAAAGTGTCATTTCTTTAGTGTTGTCACATGAAAAGATAGAATAAAATATTTGCAAAAATGTGAGGGGTGTACTCACTTCTGTGAGATACTGCATGTCAGAGGGATAGGATGGCATGGTGGCGGCCATATTACCGACATGGGAACCGGACATTATATGAACAGAGAAAGGCAGCAACAATACCACCAGCAGGAGCAGTGGGGCTCCTGAAAGAGGGGACACAGAGCAGGCTTTCCAGCTTTAGGGACCATGTTACAGGTTGTAAGGGCACCTGTTGGGGGGACACTGGCAGCTGGGGTGATGTCTCTTAGTTTATCCTGAATACTGAGGTTTTGGCACAGTATCCTCTGAACTGATTAGGACAGCTATTTGGTGGGGGGCTCACAGGTAGCTTTGTCAGGTCAGGAAGACTTAGACCCTCCTGGTGTAACGTCCCCTGAGGGTCAGGGGCTCTCAAGGGCTTAGAACCCTTTCCCTTATTGAATACTCTGGATCTGTGGTCTACCTTGGCAGTTATACAGTGGTTTTCAGAAATTGAGGCATTCTTCTTTTACTTCCCTTCCTTTTGGGTGATGGAGGAATTGGTGGATGGAAGACTCAGAGTGTAAAAGCCTTCAGCAGGGGGAAGCAGAAGCCTCCTCATCCAAGGAGCCCCAGGGCCAGAGTTCTTAGACCCAGAAGGCCTCTGAGTTTTATCACTGAAACAGTCCGCTCTTAACTGAAGTAGCCACTTCCTGAGTCTTCAGCTATGAAGGTTTCACCACTGGGGTTCTGACGGCTGCCACAGCATCCCCAGTCATTTCCTTTACACCCTCATCTCAAGGGGGTTGTGTATGCGGGACTGGGCTCACCCCACCAAAGAGATTTGCTCAACTATACCAGATGGGGGAAGATATCACTAATAAGTGGAGTAGGCAATCACTTATCTCAAGAAAGCCTATATGCCCAGTGGACAACATTCCAGTCTTTAAGGAAACAGTCAAAAACCACCTGCAGACTTTGCTGAAGGCATCTTTTGCTTTAGCAGGCACATTGTTCCAGCCAGCAGGTGCAGCTATCAGAGTCTGCCAGAGCCTTAACGTTAGAGTAATACACCTGTCCAGAGGGTTACACAAACCGGGTAGAAAGGCTGAGCTACGCAACATTTTGGCACATTTCCCTCTGGCTCTGTTTTGCTGTGGACAGTCTGAAGGATTCCATTCAGCAGATTTTTGTGTTTGGGACTCATCTGTACATATGTGCAGTATTCCTTGTAGGGCAACTCTGCAGTACTGGTGTGCAGAGTTGCCCTGCAAGAAGCTATTGGCAGATTTTCCTTCTCACGGGGAAAGTCTCTTTGGGACAGATTTAGATAAGTTTATCCAAAAGATTTCTGGGGGTAAGAGTTGACTTTTACCACTTTGGAAGAAGGGTAAGCTCTAGACTCAGAGGGGGACTATTCCTTCTACTTCAACGCTTGTTTCCACAAGGTAGTCCTTTCGCTGCTCTCAGGCTTCAGTATCCAGAGCAAAGCTTCAGGGCCAGTTCCACAAGAGGTCCTGGTCTTCTAAGGCAGCAAAACTGGACTCAACCCAACTCTCCGACCCACTTGTTCGGGTGGGGGATGTTTGCAGGCTTTTGTAGAAGTTTGGAAGCAGGAAGTAACTGACAAGTGTGTTCGTTGTACAACTGCTTACAGTAACAGGTTGGAGTCCTGAAGTTTTTCGCTGGCCTTCACAATATAGCTAATGATGGTGGGTTAATATGCAAACCAGCTTTTAGTTCAATCAAGAGGCAGATTATGCCTTGACAGTGTTTCAAAGACCAAGTCCTGCTCATCCTTGACGTGTCTCTGTACTGGATGTTATGCATATCATGCCCCCAGTAAGGTGACCTTTGACTCCATGGGACCTCAATTAGGCACGGTCAGTGCTGTAGAAAAGCCATGTGAGCTTATGAGGGACCTTCTTTTAGTCCATTGATGTGGAAGGTTGCGTTTATGGTTGCCATTATTTCAGCAGGAATAATAAGGAGCTTGCAGCCATTTCTTTACGTGAGCGGTTTCTTGTGCTTTACGATGACAAGGTGATTCTACAGCTTCAGCTGTTGTTTTTGCCAAAGGTGGTTGCGGACTTCCACTTCAATCAGGACACTATTTTACTGATTTTTTCCCCCGTGCCTCAATTGCTGGGGAACAAGACTCTACACACTTTGGATATAGTTTGGGTTGCCAGGATTATATCTGTAATTTACTGCCACAGTCAGGCAGTTGGACTCTCCATTTGACCTTCCAGGAGAACCAAAGAAAGGTCACACAGCTTCCAAGTTTACCATTTCACATTGATTTGTCAGTTAATCTCTCAAGCCTATGGTTTCAAAAGAATACTCCACCTTTTCCAGTGACAGCTCATTCTAGCAAGAGTGTTGGTGCCTCTGGGGCTGTCTGTCATCAGGCTTCAGTGGCTCGGTCTACAAGGACACAACCTGGTCTTCAGTTCACTCCTTTTAAGATTAACCAGGTGGATGTAAGAGCAGCTGAGGACGGGACCCTGGTCACAGAGATTTGCAAGCTGCTAAGTTTCTTTCAGGCCCGACAGTGGTTGGCGTGTCTCCCTCCCCTCATGGGCTTTGCTGTAGGACATCCTATTAAGTAAGGATTAATAGAGCTGCTCTGTGTCTCATGATGTATGGTAAAGAAAACTGGATTTTTTACTTACTTGTAAAGTCCATTTTGTGGTATATATCATGGGAGGGGTTATCTAAGCAATCGCCTGTAGGTGTCAAATAACCCTATGAATAAGGATTATTAGAGATGCTCTGTGTCCCACGATGTACTCCAATAAATGGATTTTAAAGGCAAGTCAAAAATCTAGTTAGTACTTGAAATTCAACAGCAGATTTAACTGCAGCCAACTTTTCTTGCTGTAGAGTTAAAAGACAACCAAGCAATTATTTAACCTACCAAACACATTCCACTGCATGCCAGTCTGCTGGCAAATCCTTACATTATAGGACCACACATGGCACATATAAGGACCAAGTGAGACAACAGTTAAAAGAAAAATAAAATGATGTCCAGGCCATGCAGGAAAAGCCAGCAAACACATGGACAGTTATGTCAGGCTAAACATCTAATTTCCCAAGTTCTAAATACCTTGCTTCAGGATTGCTGAGGCTTTGCCTGATTTAGGCCCCTTTCGCACGTGTGATTCGATCAGGTCCGACTGTCAGTTTTTCAGGCGGACCAGACCAGATAGTCCATGTATTCCTAGGTGTCCATTTAGACCTGCCTGCCATCAATCCGATCCACAAGAGATCTGTACCCCTCTGCCTAGGTGAATCGGATCGGAGGGCAGTTGGGTGTAAATAGTATATTTACTGTGCAAACAACGGAGCAGTCATGGACCTGTCATCCACCCACTGTGCTCAGCAGGGGATCAGCGGAAGACCCCCTGCTGAGCAAAGCCAATTCCACCCCATGTGAAAGGGGCCTTAAAATTATATAAAAAAAAAAATGTGCAATGAATGAATGCAAACAAAGCATGTGGGAGGATGACCTGATGAAAATGGGGAGGGGATTCTGAGATCAGTCACAAAGAAAGATACGGTCACCTACTACTATAACCATTTAGTCCACTACCAGCTGACAGACAAGCGCAATCCAAGCAAGTGTGGCTAAAAAAATAAAAAAAGATAACATTATCCATCTGTCTAACATGGTTAGGGCCTGCAATCCCTGTTAATGTATCAACCCTGAAAGTCCATCATCAATTACTTTATGAAGTACATGTGCAATGCATGTCCAAGCGGTTAGTTTGTTAACCCAACCTGCATTGCTGTTCAGAATGAATGAGCTATCCACAATGATCAGGACTGCAGAAGGCTTCTCTACAACCAGCAGGCATATTACTGCACCCAACACCCAAAAACCAGCAGTGAAGGAGCAGTGCAAGTTAAATGAGACAAAATGTGAAATTATTTTAATCTTTTGCAATCAAATTTGGGCTAAAAAAGGAAATTGTACTTTACAGCATTTCCCAACAATCCTATAGAAAGGCTCTGAGTCCCAGACTCAAAGAAAAAAAAAGAAAAAAAAGAAGGCCAGGCTTATTAAACATTGATGAGTTTTCAATGAAAAATGGGAATGTTGGGTATATTGGGCATTTCAAGTCTAACTCCAAAAATGCAAAAAAAAAAAAAAAATACTAATAATAATAATCATCCACACTTGCAGTAAGCCAACCCCCACACTGCAAGGGTTTTTTTTTAGGTGTTAGGACTATGTGATTTCAGAAGAGGATGTTGTACTGACCCAGTTCTGTCAGTTCCAGGGCTCTCCCTCCTCTGTCAAAAGCTCAGGTCTGTGTGGTGGAGCCCCGACATCAGATACAATACAGGGACATTTACTCTGCATTGTAGGTTTAGGAGATTGCAACTCTGAAGGGAACCTCCTGGAGAGAGGAACAAGGTACGAATTTACACCTTTCTCCTCTGCTACTAGACTAGTAGTTAAACCTTGCAGTGCTGCGGGTGAGGGGCCCACTGAATGGTTGGATTTTTGAGTTTTTCTGGAGTTAGGCCTTAAAATGTATCTAAAGCCAAAATGTTTATCTCAGTCTTGGATTAAATATGGACCCTGCTCAGGCTTTATTGCGGTCTGTGAGATTTTCCTTTTTGCCCTGACATACAGCAGGAAGTGAGAGGAGATCTCACTCAAGAGAAAAAGGGTCTCCATTGGAAAAATTCCCCCCTATTCCTGTTCCCGTGACAGCAAAAAATGTTGGATTTTATTATTTTCTGTCCCAGGAACAAGGCCGCTGGGACAAAACAAGAGGGTGAACCTTCCCAGTGGGGAAACAGACAGTAATAGAAACCCTTTCACATTTCAAAGGAGAAAAAAAAAAAAAAATATTCCTTCAATACACTAACAATCAGAGTATGAAACAATCATTTTTGGATGGTCTTTACTACATAAACCTGCAATGCTGCTTCAAGTGGCTTTGAAATGCAACTAAATAAATTCCATGCAAAAATAACACAGCAGATTCACTTACCTGGCCCCCCCGCTGCTGCCATATGAGCCTGAGCAGCTTGCTGCTGAGCAACCTGCTGCACCTGCTGTTGAGCTGCTTGCTGTGCTGCCTGCTGTTGCTGAGCTTGCTTTTCTGCCTGTAGCTGTGCTTGCGCTTGCTGTTGAGCTTGTTGAGCCTGTGCTTGTTGGTGCACCTGCCGAGCTTGCACCTGTTTTCCACCTGCTGAGGATATAAAGGTTAAAGTGTCATTAAAACAAAAACTTTAAACGTCATCTTAAACTTTCAAAATATTTCTTCTATGTGTGCTGATGTTTCCCTGCAAAAAATAGATTAGAAGTCACTAAAATACCCAGTGACCCTGCCATTACACCAGAGTCCTTATACAGAATGGCACCGATATGCCAGCCAAATATGTTGATGTTGCCACTGTATGCATATGCACTAGGTTTTCCCAGTGTGAAGCCATAACCTTCGTCCTTTCCCCTCAACTAACCACCCCACGTAACACTTTTGGAAAAAATAAATAAAACTTAATTTGCACAAAAAAAAAAAAACAAAAAAACACGCCTATAAAAAATAGACTCTAGAATCAATGCTTGATTGTTTTACTAGCAATCTGTATTAAAACTCCACAATATTCTTCATAATGAGCTTGGGGCATAACTTATGAATAACAGAGAGACTGGGTTTATGTGGACTTACTGCTCCTGTCACACCATGTAGCCTGGGACAGGAGCAGTCAATCCACAAACCCCACCTCCCTGTTAATATGCATAAAACTACGCTCCAAGATTTTATTTATTACAGGTACTTATATAGCGCTGTCAATTTACGCAGCACTTTACATATATATTGTACATTCACATCAGTCCCTAACTCTCAAGGGGTGTACAATCTAAGGTCCCTAACTGACATTCACACATACTAGGGCAAATTTAAACAGGAGCCAATTAACCTACCAGAATGTCTTTGGAGTGTGGGAGGAAACCAGAGTACCCGGAGGGAAACCCACGCAGGCACAGGGGGAACATGCAAACATTAGGCAGGTGGTGCCGTGGTTGGGATTCGAACCAACGACCCTAGCACTGCCAGGCGGAAGTGTGTACTTTTAAGAGCACATTCACATGTGCGTCAATACCCTGTGTATATGCAACATTTATTCGGCATTTTAAAGTCTCATAACCGCCCTTCAAAGCCTGCTATGAATATTACAATTGCACCACACTGTGTTGTTCACATAGAAGTGGTAGCATTGGGTTGTGTTAAAAATTAAAAGTGTTACTAAACCCACAACAGTAAAATCAGTTTGTATATGCAATAAAGCATGCTTGTTATACTCACTGTGGAACTTAAGTGGTTTAATACTCTGCATTGTGTAAAAACGCTGTCTGATGCTGACTTCTCTGATACTCCCCTTCTCCCAGTGTCCCGCTCTCACCTCCTGATAAGATATATCATGTGGAGTCACCAACAGCATGAACCAACATGGCAGCCTTGCTTTTAAAAGTCTGGCCATTATTGGGTGACAATCGTGAAATTCTTAATGACTTTGGTCATTATTTTCTATTGCATCAGCCAAAAATATATTTCCAATGTCTCAGGTTCTGCCTTTGGTGATGATCATATTGCTGGTGCTGCACTGTGCACGGACTTCCCCCACTGATATGCATATATATTGAAATGTGTCTCGCCCTGTTAATATACACTGCTCAAAAAAAATGAAAGGAACACTTTGAAAACACATCAGATCTCAATGGGGAACCAATGGGGAAAAATCCATATAATGCAAGATATCTATACTGATATGGACTGAGTTATGGGTTACAATGAAAAGAAAATGATGCAGCAGGCTAGTCCATTTTGCTGAAATTTCATTGCAGCAACTCAAAATGGCATGCTTGTGTGAATGCCTGACAATGTTGGGGCATGTTCCTAATGAGACAACAGATTATGTCCTGGGGTATTTCCTCCCAGATATGGACCAGGGCGTCAGATGATATCCCAGAGATGTTTTATTGGATTTATGACAGGCGAGCTGTGGCCGCCAAGTTTTCTTCTCCCCCTGCCATCCAGACTGACCCTCCAGAAAACTTGTTGTTAAAGGAGGACTTACCCAAGTCTTTATCCTCTCTCCATTCCCTGTTGCTACCCCTATCTACCCCTAGAATGCAGTCACTTTACAATAAATGGCGCGCAGACCATCCGTCTCTGTTGGAAGATGAATGGGAGGATTGTCTTTTACAATGCCTCCCTACCATGATGTCAGCCAGGGACCGCTTTATACATCTAACGTTTATCCATAGAGTATATTATACCCCGCGGCGACTGGCTACGATATATCCTGATAGATCGGCATCATGTCCTCGTTGTGATTTGGCGGAAGGCACGTTTCACCATATGTTTTGGGAATGTACGAAGCTACGTCCTTTTTGAGCTGGGGTATTAGATACTATTAATGCGGTTTGTAAACGGTCTATTCCCATGGATCTGCTGATTATGTTGTTAGGCCTCCTTGACCTAGTGGAAGCATCTAAGCATAGCAATTTGTTTGTCTTCTATTCTCTATATTATGCTAGAAGAGAAATTTTGCTGAGATGGAAGCTGTCTACCCCGCCCACGGTCTCGGGCTGGAAGTCGGCAATCAACGGTGTGCTTCCATTGTGTAAACTTACATATATGAGCCGAAATTGTCCAGCTAAATTTGATAGAATATGGGCTGGGTGGGTGGAGGCACAGGGCCTTACGGCGTAATCATGGGTGTTTTCACTTTAAGGTTGTGTCAATTTGTACCATTTGTCTTACTTGCTACTGTTGTGGTACCTACCTTCTTCTTTACCCTTCTTCTTAGTGGATATTATCCAGAGTGGTTATATAAATGTGTATCACTTATACCATATCCTGGATATGTGAATTACTGATGTATGGGTCATGCGGATCACATCATGATTTATAGGCATATAATGTAATACAATCATAGATAGTGCCTAAGTGTATGGTCTGCCTTGGTATAGTTGTTGAACGGAAAGTTCATTGGAATAAACAGCAATCCTAATTCAGAATGGTATTGAAAGTATTAATAGAGTACAATAGGTTACCACCGTAGAATCATCAGTGACCTCCCAATGCATAATAAGGCTAAAACACCACCAATATAAGCAAGTCATTGTTAACTACTCACCCACAACAAAAATTTAAACAAAATCTGGAAGTCTGGGAAAAGGTAATATATTTATAATCTTATAGCTCCTAGAGAATGTAGTAGATCCAGTCGTTTTAGATCATGTGTACGTTCAAAAAATATCCAGTCTTCTGAAAGTGAAGGTGATCGTCTAAGAAAGCCACTAACTTTGTTGAACTAAGTACAGATAAGGGAGATAGACCCAGGCCCAGGGAAAAGGGGAATAAAGGAAGGGCCCGTGAAAGAAGAATAAGGAAGTAGGAAAAGGAAAAGAGCACGAGAAGCTGAGAGGGAGTACAGTGAGGAATCAAAAATTAGGCAGGACACGCAGTGGGAAATAAAGATCTTCACACCATGATGGAAGCATCTGAAGAAGCATGTCCTTTGTTTCAATCTGTCTGATTTTCATCTGGGAGGAGAGACATTTGAGTCTCCTTAAAAAAAGGCTTGACTTTTTCTCTGGTATCCTCTATGGATGAATTTGAGACATTAGCCTCTTTAAGCGTAAAGTCCTGTTTACTCCAACGAACGTTCTGTTCAGCAACTATACCAAGACAGACCATACACGCAAGCACTGTGGCTGTATTACATTATATGCCTATAAATCATGATGTGTTCAGCATGACCCATACATCAGCAATTCACATATCCAGGATATGGTATAAGGGATACACATTTATATAACCACTCTGAATGATATCCACTAATTATCGTATTATCCGCTGAGGCCTCTAGTAGCTTTATTTAACGTTATCGTACATTTTACTACCTTCCATTATCATTCATCTTACCACCTTCCATGTAGTAATGTGGCCGAATGAGCGGCTGCTTGGGTGACAAGACAACGTTTTCCTTTTAATTTTAGAGTAGTGGTGGTTAGTGGTTTTAGCTCACTTTTGTACATAATTTGTTACCATTTGTTCAATAAAGCCATTTTGATTAAGCTGCATGGTCCCATTTGAAACTTCCTTCCAGGGGTATCTTTTTAGCCTTGATCATTGCAAGACTTGCGCTTACAGCCTGAGACTTATCTACACTGCATGGTGCAACCTCTCTTCCATAGCTGCTAAATATGAGGTACTGGTATTGGATGCTTGGCACCAACTTCAACTGTCCCACTTCTTGCATTCCCTTTCTCCCTCCCCCATGACAGTCCGTGAGACACCTAACTCCTTTTGAAAAGACTTGCCTAGCTGAAGGCACCATGCATAATACATTGGGGTTGATTTATTAAACTGAAGAGTACAAAATCTTGTGCAGCTGTGCACAGTAACCAAGAAACTTCTAACTTCAGCTTGATCAATTAAGCTTTGACAAATAAAAAAAAGCAAAAAAAAAAAAAGAAAAACTGGTAGCCAATTGGTTTCTATGCAGAGCTGCACCAGATTTTGCACTCTGCTGTCTTCGTAATTAAACCCCAAGGTGTCTCGTACTGAACGTTAATGGATGCCCACTCTTGGGTAGACCCCGGATTTATTCATAAATGTGAGAATTATTTTTTCAGAGGATTAAAAAGACAGAATTTTAACTTTCGCTCATAAGGCTTTGATCTGCACTAGGTATCAAGAGATATCCTACAAGGTTGTGCCACCATCCATTTTAACCAAACTCTTCCCACAACAGAGTCCAGTCTGCTGGTGCTGTGGCGCACACACTGGTACTTTTATTTTTTTTTTTTTTACATAGTTATTCTGGAAATGCCTGGCCCTACAACCTTTTCGCACTCAGTTTTAGAGACCATTCAACATACTACAGGTTTCTTGTTAACCAATAATCCAGGGTCACTACTCCCCCACTTGACCCCTAAATGCAGCAAAAACTTGCATCCCCAGCTCTTGGAAAAGTACAACTTCACAGACTATGGGACAGTAGATTGCCAGAGTGAATAATATCCAAGAATTGGAAGCACTCACAGTGGTCCTTAGGGACAGGATCTCAAAATAAAAAAAAAAATTGTACTGGTGGAATTCAAATATTCTGACAGGTACAGTTAAATGTGGTAACCTGCTGGGCCCTAGCTCCTTGAAAGCTTA